TGAAGTACTCAGAGCACACCTCAGGGTCTTTCCTTTATATGGTTTCTGTTTTTCCCAATCTTGGCTTCCATGCCCTCTCACTAATGCCCACCTCCCATCAGGTTATTGGAAAGCCCAGTGGGCAATTCATGATGAGGTGATTAAAGATACTATCATATTGACTTACTATAAAAATTCTGGACATTGGTGTAAGCAATAAATTCATGACCAAAACCTCAAAAGAAAAAGCAGCAAAAGACAAAATTAACAGGTGGGGCCTATTTAAACTCAAGAGTTTCTGCACAGCAGAATTTTTAAAAAATCAATCACATTAACAGACAACGTACAGAATGGGAGAAAATATTTGCAAACTATGCAATTGACAAACATCTAATATCCAGAATTTATGAAGAACTCAAATAATCAATGGGAAAAGAAACTAATAATCCCAGTAAAAAAGAGGGCAAAGGACATGAACAGACACTTCTCAAAAGAAGTCATACAAGTGGGCAACAAACATATGAAAAATGTTCAGCTTCACTAATCATCAGAGAAATGCAAATGAAAACCATAATGAAATGCAAATCAAAACCACAATCTTATATTAGATGAGATGTCTTTTATTGAAAAGTCAAAAAATAACAAATGCTGCTGAGGATGCAGAAAAAAGTAGATGCTCCTACACTGTTGATGGGAATGTATGCTAGTTAAAACTCCTATGGAAAGCAGTTTGGAGATTTCTCAGAGAACTAAAAATAAACCCACTGCTCAACCCAGCAATCCCACTACTAGGTATATATGCAAAGGAGCTTAAATCACTCTACCAGAAGGATAACTGTATGCACATGTTTGTTGCAGCACTATCCACAATAGCAAAAACATGGAACAAACCTAGATACCAATCAATGATGGAATGGATAAGAAAAATGCAGTATAAACATACCACAGAATACTATGCAACCACAAAAGAGAAAAATCATGTCCTTTGCAGCAACCTGGATGCAGCTAGAGACCGTCATCCTGAGCTAATTACCATGGAAACAGAAAACTGAACTCCATATTTTCTCTCTAATAAGTGAGAGCTAAACACTGTGAGCACAAGCATGGGAATAACAGATACTGGGATAATCCCAAAGGGGAGAAGGAAGGGGATATAAGGACTGAAAATTACCTCATGGATACCATGTCCACCACCTAGGTGCTGAGCTCAATAGAAGCTCAGGCCTCGCCATCATACAATATTTTTATGTAACAAACTTTCACATGTGCCCCTGAATCAAACTAGAAAATAAAAAAGTTAAAATCAAAAAGTGGAAAAAATAAGTTTTATTAATTGGAGGTGTCTATAATTCACTTGGGACAAAATGTTCACTTTTTACTAAACTGATTGAAATCCAGTATTTCCTGTGCTATTTTTGTCATCAATAGAAATTACAAATATTTGTATATGACATTACATTTGTGAAAGATACCTCAAGTTATAATCTTTGTCACGACACTGAAATTGCAGTATTATTAGACCCACTTGGATCTTGATATTTACTTCCTTAATAAAGAAGTATATATATTATTTTATATATTTGGATACCTATGTATTGACATAATTTCTTTGTAATCTTTATTAAAAGTTATGCCTTTACAATATTATTCTGAGGAGAGCTCTATAGGGAAAGGAGACTGGTGGAACAATGAACATTTTTTAGATGGTAACACAGCTGATAAGTATTATTTTGTTTGGGATAAGCAGTTATATGACCATGAGTGCTCAGCAGCTATATCTGTTTGGCAAAGATTAGGACCAGTCTTCGTATGTTTTACATTCAGGTTCTGTGCATTCTAGAAAGTCATAACTATTTACCTCCCTTGAACAGAAGATTGTATTATGTCATTCATTCCCTTTGTTTTTACATTATTCTTGTCCTACTGAAATCCAGCATTGAGACACTTTACCATATGTGGTTTTTGCCTGCCCAAAATTCCTTCATCCACCTCTTCTGACACTGTGATTTTCCTTGGGGATGCACCCCTTCTGTATTATTAGCTTTTTATGTCTGAATAGGGCCAACTCTACTTAATAACACACATCTATGATACTTACCAGGGATCGGTTCCCCTGGGCAGACTGATGGGCACTTGATGCATTTAGAACTGCTGTCACTTAATTCTAATAACCTTAATAGGAAAAGAATCCCACTTTCCACTCTAGTTTCTAAGAGAGAAGAGTGTTTACCAAGGATTTGGCAGCCATCTTTCATCAGAAGGAAAGAACCCACGTGAAATTGGAGTTGATAGAGAAAAAAATAAACAAAACAGTTGAGAGACAGGAAAAAACAATCAAACAAACACCACCTCAGACCAGAAACAGTTTAAAACATCCTTGAAATTAATTCTTCCCATGGACTTTTCAGCTATGGGAGTTGCAACACTATCTAGCTTAAGTCATTTTAAGTTGGCTTATAACAAAAAGAACAGCTATCTTACACAGTTATAAAACAAGATTAGTAACTCAATGTCTTGAAAAGGAAAAAAAATGATTGAGTATATGCTGGAGTCCAGCTCCAGGAGAGAGTCAGGGCTTGAGACGGGGGAATCAGGAAGCAGCGAAAAAGAAAAGACGAAAACGACAGGAATCCTCTTCCTGGGGAGAGCTCAAGACTCTGCCAATTAGGTCTCACGTACATGTTCCACGTTCATCCTTTTTGCACTCACAATAAGGTTATCTTTAACAATTTCAACCACAGATGGTGTTTTTCTTAAGTCAAACATTTATGAACATCCTGGTTTTCTCCCTAACTTTCTCATAGCTATTTACTATTATAGGCCTATAATATCCTTACCCTATAAAGCTAAACCTTAACCCTGTCTTATTTAATTTACTTACTACTATATATTTATTCCTATTAATCTTATTTCTATCCTTCTATCCCTATACTTTCTTAACTATCACTTATTATATATCTCTTATCTTACTAGTTTATCTTATCTTACTATCTTATTATTAATATTTTAAATTCTATCTTCATTAAACTACTTATTTAATCCTAAAATATCTTAACCTATTTTTTATCTCAAATGGTTGTTTTCCACCAGCTCTCAGCTGGGGTCTGTTGTTTATGAAGAAGTGGCTGACTCATTCTTCTCGGCCTCCTGCTGTTACTGAAAAAAAACCTTACACACCAAAAAGGGCACGCTTTTTGCTGCAATCTTACTTCCATTATGCCTATGTATAATTTTTGCTGTCAAAATGCCATCATCCATTTGCGGATCTATTATCTCAATTAAAGAGGGAACATTCTCAAGCCTATGCACCAATCCTTCAAAGTTAGGGAAGGTCCGTCAACAGGATCCATGGGACCTTGCCTCTGTCATGGCCGCATTTTACTGGGGCCTTGCTCCCAGCCGGCATTTTTCCTGTTTTCAGGTCCCTTTTACCTTCCTTTTAATAGTGATTGTGGCTCCCAGCAATTATATATTATAATTATTTTGTTATATAATAATTAAGTCAATGGGTGCAATATAACCATTTGATGATCTCTGTGATATAAACCTCATATACCTATTATAGCAAGCACGGATATAAAAACCCATTTTACAAAGGAGTGAGTAATTTCCTAAGTCAAGTCATTTACATAGAGAAAAACAGTGTTACGGTTTGGTGTGTTAGACTCCAGAGTTTCATTATACCATCTGAAAACAAAATATAACTTCTTTACTAGTATAAAATAGACATGAATATGCAATAAAAAAACTCTTAATAGTGCAACGTTGCACTAACATTCCTCTCTCCCATCCCTACCTTGTCTTAATTTCTTGCTAATGCAGCATTGTATATTTCCTAAGGATTCATTGTAGAAAGGGGCTAGGAGGCTGGGCTCGGTGGCTCAGCCTGTAATCCCGCGCCTTTGGGAGGCTGAGGTGAGTGGATTGCCTGAGCCCGCGGGTTTGAGACCTGCCTGGGCAGCAAGACCTCGTCTCTACAATAAATCAAAAAATCAGCCAGGCGTGGTAGTGCATGCCTGTAATTCCGGCTACTGGGAAGCCTGAGGCTGAAGGATCGCTGGAGCCCAGCAGGTCGAGGTTGCAGTGGTCGGGAGCGGCCACTGCACTCCAGTCTGGGCGGCAGAGTGAGACTCCAACTCAAAAAAAAAGAGAAAGGGGCTAGGATGATTTAAAACGGAAAGCTCATTACATCCCAAGGGAGATGAAGTGCTATAGGCTTACATGAGGAAGAACATAATCCAAGTAAGATATGTGGTAAATCATGCCCCTCATCAAAGCTATGAAAAAAATAGTTGTCAAGTGATGAACACAGAAGTGGATGATTACCTTTCCAGTGGAACAGAGAATTTCTGCATCACTGTGAAGAGTCATTTTTATTTATACTGTAGCTGTTTTCAGAAAACGTGGGGACCTATAGCAGATATGATACAATTTTTAAGCATACTGGGGTTTGTGCCACATGTAATAGGACATTCCCTGTTTGGAAGGATGAGGTATATTATTCCAGTTCTAGTGGACCTTGGATTTCCCTGGGCTACTTATGCCTTTTCTCATATTTAATATCTTTGAATGACATGAAATTGCCTAAATGAGGCTAATTAATAATGTGGAAACTGAGCATGCTCAAGGGTCTTTGAAAACCTTGAGTCATATTTGGGAGGCTTCATACAGTTTAGTATTTAGTTGAAGCAAAAAATAATACAAATAACTTTTTCATGAATGAGCAGAGTGAGTATAATTTCCCTTATTGTTTGGTTAATGGACTTTCTTAGAAGCATAATATCCTGATATCCAAGAGTAGTGCACCCAGGAAAATAATTGAATTGAATATAATTCGGAAAGTTCACAGCCCGGGAAAGATTGGTGAGGAAATGATGACATACAAATACAACTTGAATTGGTAATGCTTTTAGGAAGCAAAAGCAGAAGCTGAAGACCTATTCTGGACAGTTTCTGTTAAGAAGCTGCTGGAGTAAATGCATCTGCCTTTCTTCCAGGTAAACAGCCCCAAGCCGTCCAACATGATAGTACTCATTTTCTTGGGTAAGTGAATGGTACTTCTGGTTTATCTGAATTCATCATAATACTAATTATTTGTTAACTGAATCATTGCATCCTAACTTAAGCTTAACAGATGTTTATAATATGAAGTACTAATTACAATACAAATTTATACTTTAATGCAGTTATTATCTGTGCAGAAATGTATACTCACTTATTTCTAACTATAGAAAATGCACAAAGTGAGAATTGCATTAATTTCTCAGGTTGCTTCTGTTTTATTGTATAGATTAATCCAATAACTTTGAGTTATTTATTAAGATTTATTGAGTTTACATATGTGTTAGAATCTTTTAGGAATGAAACCTTCCAGTATCTATTTACAAGTTGTAAGATGACAAATTTCAGATTATTGTCTATTTAATTTCAAAGAAAAATGAATAGGTTATTTGTTTTATATGAACTATATGGTTTAAATAATACACATTTATTTTATATAAAATATATTTTAAATAATTAATATGTATTATATATAAAATAAATAAAATTAACTTAAACCATTCAATTCCCCTAAAGGGTTAATATTTACTAAGAGTCATTTGGTAGAGTAAAATAATGTAGCACCACATCAAATGCTTCACATTTTGATAATTTTTTATGACCTACAGATCAAGTGTGAACTTATCCCTCTTGTATTAGATCCTATGAATATATTTTAAGATGTTGATGAAAAAAATTTATTTTCATTTAATGTAGAATCCATATAAATCTACTTGTTGGATGTGTGATTGGGGAAGCTTTCATATCTTCTTCAGTATTTGGTAAAAACCGATAAATTAAATTCAGAAAAAAGAATAGCTGTGATTGTAGCCGGATATTAATTTAAAAAGCAATATATTTTTTGTTCACTCTAAGCTAACAGATATTGATGTATAAAGACAATTGTGGGCAAAAAAAAAAAAGTTTATTTTAAACTGTGTTGAACATAAAAGGAGAGTCAAATAAAAAAATTAAGTCAAGAAGGAAAGGAATCCTTATATATTTTCAGAGTTTCTTTTGGTTTAAATAATAGTTCTTCATTGTTTCAAAATTTTTCCTCTACTTATTTTAAAAATGTTTTATGATTTTTGTATTGATTTCTAATTTTTTACATTTATTTTTTTCTTAAAAAGATAAGTCTAAGAGAGTTAATTTTTGTGGATCAGGCAGCAAAATAATGGAATACATAAAATACATCAGGACCTCACTATAGTCTTAGTTGAAAAGGCAATGGTCTCCTGTTTTCATCTTTTCACTCTAATTTAACCTTGACACCAGGTTGTATGAAGGAGGGAAATCATTTCTAACATTGTTAGGACCAAGATTATAGTATTTGATAGGTTGTAACACCATTTCTTACATTATGTTCTTCAAAATATATTTTCTAAATAGGTCTTGTGATGAAGAAAGTTTCAGTTGCCAAAATAATGGGGGAAACAGTGAATTTTTAAAATTCAGAGCATTTAACAGGCTAATGAGCCTTATACATCTGTAAAATTTTGTTGAAATGTGCAACATTTTTTATCCTATTAATTTAAAAATACAAACTGTAGTACACCAAGCATTTCAGGAGAATCCTTGAAATATCCTGACTTATATAGAAAGTCACAAATAATACTCAGAAATGAATAAGGCAGATTTTGGAAAAGTAAAGTTATATTTTTGGTTCTTGTGAAACAAATCATTGAGATAGTTTTCTTAGTTGAATCAATATTTTATCTGAGGGGAAGGAGAGGAAAATCATGTAAAATAACCAATCAAGTAGATTATTCAACCAAAAATTGAATATGAAACAAAGTGAAACAGATTTAGGAAAGATAGTATAGAAATGATCATTCTGAGGTACTGGTGAGATTTGATGATATATCCAGGAGACCATCAATTACAAGTTTCTTGATGGAGTTTTTCACAATATACAATAATCAATGGCAAATGATATTCCAGTTTCTTATTAGTTGAATTTACGACATGAAATTCATATTTCAAGATTTTTGGAAAACTGAATTTGACCAAGTAACTTTGGGCTAGGATCAAAAGGGCCCTTTTTTTTCTTTCTCTGGACTTTCCAACATAAGAGCACAAGAGCTTGGCTAGATAAGTTTGCCCAGGAACACATGATAAAACAGAAAGCTGATATGTCAATTTCCGCTCTAGCCCTCAACAAGAACAATATGACCAAGCCACACCCATGGGCCTAATCTCCAAATGCAGTGACCCAGCAAGTAGTACACATGGTCCAATGAGTTGTCTTGGATTCTCCTTAGGAGATGAGGCTTGGAAAGAGGTAAGATAAAAGAAAATATTTCAAGGCCTTATTTGAAGCCTGTAAGTCTACATTGTCACAGGTGATTCATAAAACTACACTGAGATGCCACCTAACTTTAGTCAATAACTAAAAAAAAAATACATGCTGGAGAGGGTGAGGGAAAAGGGAACACTTCTGTACTTTTGGTGGGAGTGTAAACGAATGCAACCTCTGTAGAAAACAGTGTGGCGATTTTAAAAAGATCTAAAAATCGACCTTCCTAGCAATCTCCCTTCTTGGAATATACCAGGAGGAACTCAAATCACTCTATGAAAAAGACACCTGAACACGCATATTTATAAACATTATTCACAATAGTAAAAATATGGAACCAAACTTATCTCCATCGAAAGTGGACTGGATTAAAAAATGTGGTACATATACATGATCGAATATTATGCAGCCATAAAGAAGGACAAAATTATGAACTTCGCAGCAGCTTGGATAGATTTAGAGTCTATAATTCTCAGCGATCTGTTACAGAAACAAAGAATTGAGTACCACATGTTCTCACTTATAAGCAGACCCTGAACAATTATTATAATATTATAAGAAAGGGATTAGCAGTAGTGAGAAACTGCCAGGGGAGGAAGCAGGGGCACACTTCATTAATAAGGGTACCTGATCTCAAACCAGGTGAAGTGGGGGCCAAAGTGAGGCCCCAAATTTACCTGTACAATGGCCATTTGTATACCTAACCCTGAATTGTACTAATCTTTAAAATAAAAAAAATTTTTAAAAGAATATCAGCTTTTAAAAAATTCAGTGTGGCTTTTAAGTCATCACTTGAGATCTGATTATAGTTAATATAATTGTCTCTATAACTAATTATGATTCTCCTGTTTTTCTATTAATTGATGAAACTAGTGTCAGTTTGTATATTTGCAGAATCAATTTGACTAATTTGTATAACATACTAAATTAGCATTGCTATTTTTCTTGATTGTTTTTAGAAAACTTGCTGGAACTTTTTCTCCTTCACCAAAAATAACTTGTAAATATCTGGAAGGTGTTATTTACATGAAACATTGTCAATTATCTAAAGCTATTTATAAACAACTAATAAGTTTGGTGTACGTCAAATACTTATTAAATTATAGGTATTATTGAATGTCCATAATGCATCATTGTGCTTAATGATAGAAAGAGCTATAAATTATTCTTAATGCCTGGCCAGTAAAGCCAGTAGAATCCAGTGTTGGAGACAAACCCATGAGTACCCACACTACAGAACAGTAAATTCTGTAGTTGAAAGATCCCTAAGGTTCTGGAAAAGCAGATGAGGAATGTCAAATTCAATTTGGGTGCGGAAAAAGCGTTGGGAGGTGGGTATAGAATTCAGGAAAGGTTTTTTTTAAGATAGGGAATGATTGTGTTGAGTTTTAAAGGACAACAAAAGAGTTCCATAAGAAGAAAGGAAGCCGGCCTCGGAGGCTCAGCCTGTAATCCCGCGCTTTGGGAGCCTGAGATGAGTGAATTGCCAAACCCACGGGTTCGAGACCCGCCTAGGCAACTTGACGAGACCTCATCTCTACAATAAATAAAAAATTAGCAGGGCGTGGTAGCGCGCGCCTGTAGTTCCAGCTACTTGGAAGGCTGAGGCGGAAGGCTCGCCGGAGCCCAGCAGGTCGAGGCTGCGGTGGCCGGCAGCGGCCACTGCACTCCAGTCTGGGCGACAGAGTGAGACTCCAACTCAAAAAAAAAAGAAAGAAAGAAAGGGAGTGCTTACCACAGACCAAACAATAAATGCTAAGAGGTAAAAAAGAAAGCCTAGGTCATTTGGGAAACGATAAATCCTAGAGGACTTCCAGATGGCACATGGTGAGTAACATGAGAGCCATGAAATAAGAAATCATCCAAAAGAGAAATGGTAGGAGTAGCATAGTGAATTGGGTAGATTGGGAGCATGAAGAACCTATTTGAAAAATGTTCTGAATGAGATTCAAACTGGAGACAGACTGTCCAACCAATGAGCTAGTCAAACGCTCAAAGTGAAAGTCAACAAACATAGCAAGAATGAATACAAGAGGGAAAGGTGAGGAAGGACAAGGAGTTTACCATAAATCCAAGATTTCTAGTTTGGGTGTCTATATTAACTGTGGCATAGCTGATGAAGTTGAGTGGTCCACTGGGGAGAGATAATGATGAAGACAGTGTTAAATATATTACTATACTCTGAACGTGTTTCTGGAATATTCCAGTAGAGATTATAATTATCTATCTATGACTGGAGTACTAAAAAATACATTGGAGAATCATCAGTCTAGAGATTTTTAGTTAAACCCACAAGACTATATACATTGTCCACAGAGAATGTATAAAATGAAAGTGGAAAAAGTCTGAGGACAGAACGTAAGCTAAAAATATGGTTTAACAGAAAAGTAAGAGAATTCTAGAAGGAATTATAAAAATGGTCAAAAAATATCAAGTGGGTATATATCAAGAGAAAGGAAGTTGACCAGCGGAAGATAGAGATTCAAGAACAAAAAGTCAACAAAATGCCCAGTGGTAACAGTAAGTGAGATAATGTCTTAGAATTCTTAAGTTTGATCTTAAGGTGGTAATCAGAGACATTTTTTTTTCTTTTTGAAAGCAGGATTTATTAAGAGGACAGAAAAGTTCCCACACCGTTGCTGAAGGGATTTCCCATCAGAGATATCTTAAAAGAGCAATTTCATCGAGACAGTCATAAAAATATATTATAAGTTGAGAAATTAGTAGGCAGTGAGAAAGCAAGAAGAGCAAATGTAAACTATTCATATAAGAATCTATAAGGTGAAATATAGATCTATAGCTGCAGGGGAGGTTAAGATTCATTCCAGCTTTATAATAATTTCACCACATTTTATGTTACATAATTCTGCTCCTTATCATTAAAAACTTAGAATTGGAAAAAAATGGATGCCAAACTGTAATATCGCACATTTGTTTTTGTTGTTGTTATTCAAGCTGTGGGACTAAGCTTGGAAGATGAACACACTTCCCCAGCCAATGTCTGCATGTATTTGAGAGAGCAATGCCTAACTGATGAAAATGGATGTAGACATGCGTGGAGAGTCATGGAACATGCCTGTGACGACTCAGGTACAACAACTTGCTAAGAATACACCCCACGTATTTATTTTTATAAGATAAAAATATAGACCAGGTTTGGTAGCTTAGCCTGTAACCCCAGCACTTTGGGAGGCCAGGGTGAGTGGATTGTCTGAACCCCCGGGTTCAAGACAAGCCCGGGTAACTTGGCGAGACCTCGTCTCTACAATAAATAAAAAATTAGCCAGGTGTGATATCGGGCTCCTGTAGTTCTGGCTTCTTGGAAGGCAGAGGCGGAAGGATCACCGGAGCCCAGCAGGTCGACGCTGGGGTGGCCACGAGCATTCCATTGCACTCCAGCCTGGGTGACAGAGTGAGACTTCAACTTAAAAAAAGAAAGAAAGAAAGAAAGAAAAAAATATATACATATATATTCACACATACTATATATGCATAATATATAATTTTATATCTTTTTCACTATCCTAGGAATTATGTTAATTTTGTTCTAAAGACTTTACTCAATCTTGATATTCAATTGACTCACCTTCAGTCATTTATTAGTTAATTTTATTTAGCTAAAAAACATTTTACAAAATGTTTTTCTCAATAATGAAAAAGGTCCTGATACACTAATGTTGAGGGTAGCTTTATGCAAGATTTCAGATTACTTTCTTACATATCTCACCATGTATAATGCTACAATTCTATGCATATTTCTCAGAACCATGGAAATACTTCCTCAGATAAAGTGTTATTTTGTTTTATTATTTTTACTTTATTTTGTTTACATGTTGTTATGTCAGTGATAAAATAGAAAAAAGAGATTTGTTATAATAACAATTCATATTTATTTATACATGTACAATGCACATTTTATATTCTTAAAATATATATACTATTCTTAACACATATACACTATTTTCCAACTGTGTCAAAAACAATTTAAAATAGATTTTTGTTTTTGACTTGTCCTACATTTCAAACAATTGAGGGGAGGTTCAAGAGTCGAAAATTTGAAGATTAAAACATGATTGTTATATATAAAAAAAAGCCTGAATATTCAAGTAGCTGAATAAATATGAAATGAGAGCATTGTAGTAGGAATCCAATCACTAAAAGTAAATAAAATAAAGGAATTATGTGGTGGAATAATGCCCTCATATTGTTAAGACAAAACTATTTTAAAAATAGTAAACTATTTTTAAAATAGTAAACTATTTTATAAATAGTATACATCTGACAAATTTTATCATCTTGTATTACAAATATTATAGTAATCTAACAAACTCTTTGCAATATTCATTGAGAGAAATACAAAAGGGAAAATTAAAACATATGCTATGACTCACTCTGTTTTTCTATCCATTTCACGAAAACTGAATTCTACCTCTCATGACTCTTTCTTATCTTTATGTGATTCCTTTACCTCCCAAGAGATGTAAGGTGGAGGGTGTTATAAGAAATCTATGGTTCTGGGAGTACACCTTATCGACAAGGGTACCTGCACAATGAATATTTGTATACCTCACCCTGAATTGAACCCCACAATTTTAAAATAAAAATTAAAAGAGGAAAAAAACAAAACAAAACAAAAACAAACAAACAAACAAAAAATATATATATAATAAAAGAAAGGAATTGGCAGTAGCTGGAAACTGCTGATGGTAGATGGGGGAGGGGGGTACATAACATCAGTAAAGGTACCTGATCTCAAACAAGGTGAAGTGGGGACCAAAGGGAGGCCCAAACTTTACCTGTATGATGACCACTTGCATACCTAATCCTAAATTGTACCCCATGTCTTTAAATATATATATATTTTATACCATTAAAAAAAGAAATCTATAGTTCTAACGGTGTCAATGTACACAGTCTCCACCAGCAGATCTCCTGCCCAACATTGCGGTTTATATAGGATGTGGAGAAAGGCAGAGAGAGTTGCTTCTCTTTTCTGTCCTTGAGGAAACACCTGAACTATTCAAACGCCAAAGAAGCTTAGTTATAGCTATCTAGTTCAACATTAATATAACTGTTTAGGAAAAATAATTTTAATTACGTGATTTTTTCTAAGTAACACAATAATTTTAAGATGAGATTAGAAGATGACAAAAATAATCTGCTATTTGTTTTGATGATGAAACTCCTTCCTACATTTTTAAAAGGCAATTTAAAATGTGTTGTTAAAATATTACACTTAGGGTGTCATGAATTATAACTTCTTTAATGAATTTCAGTGCCAATAGCAAATTGTTTGCAGTAAATTGCCATAATATTTGGATAATTATTCCATATATAAAGCTGAAATAGAAGTATTATTAAATGCACAAATAAAATAAACTCAAGCAATTTTATTCTGAATAGTGAATAAAAGAAAGTTTTCAAGTAGAGGAATATAGCTATTTAAGTTGAAGCAGAAAATAAAATATTGGTAATTATGAAATATTTATGTATTTATTCAATAATATTTATTGAGTGCTTCCTATATGCCAGAACCACCTCTCATTTATAATGATTAACTTAGAGTCACCTGCATATCTCTTTTAATCTTAGAATGACATGAAAATAAAACATTAGATTAAGACAAAATAGCTAATAAAATAGGTAACTAAGATTATAAAGCATTCTGGTCACCTCACATAACAGCTTTGATTATTACTGAAGAGCAAAAACTAGTATTGTAAGTATGGATAATGGAATTTTAAGCTGCAGAACATTTGAATATATTACAGAAAATACACTATTGGAAAATGCAGTAAAATTAGCCATTTTGCTTCAAAAGTCACTTATATGAACATCCTGCAGCCACCCCCGATAATCTCACTATACTGATAAATTACTAAGATAAAGTGTTAAAAGAATTTAGGAGAGGGACTCAAAAATCATATTCAGATTAATATCCAGAGTGTTATATGTTTGATTGTGAAATCCAGGTGACCCCTGCAAGATGAGGAATTCATCACACTGTAACCTGAGTATCCAGTCTTTAGTGGAAAGCAATCTCCCACTGAAAGAGTGTCTCTGCACTGATGACCTCTATTGTACTGTGAACAGATTTCTTGGAAAAAGATGTATCAATAAATCAGGTAATACTTAGTTATCAAGAGTGTTTACAGTCATGAAAAAGTAAACTATAATTTCAAAATTAATCCCATCTATGTAATTTGATTTTTTTTTTGTAATTTGACTGATTCTTGATGTAAATTGGGGTTCTGTGAACTTTAGGCCTCAGAAAATGCACGACATATTTCTTTAATTGCCAACCACAATTCAAAACTTTGTTAGAGTCATTAGAATTATAGATTAACTGATTCAGTACATATATTCATGGAATTTATTATGCTTGTCATTGTCTACAAAGAATCTTGCTGGCATTTTGATTGAGCTTACATTGAAAATATAAATCAATTTATTATGTTTTGTGCTCAGACCCATGAACATGGCATATTTCTCCATTTATTTTTATAACTAATTTAGTTAGTAAATATTTTGTGGTTTTCAGTATATAGTTCTTATACACAGTTTTTAGATTTATACAAGTATCCTTCATTTTTGGTGCTGTTATAAATGAGAATTCATTTTACATCTTAACTTTTAATTGGATATAATTGAGTATATAGAAATACAACTAAGTTTTCTATATAGACCTTACAGCCTATGACTTGCTAAACTCACTTACTAGTTTTAATAGTTTTTTTTTGTAGAATCTGTAGGATTTCTTACTTACATAGTTTTGTCATCAATAAATAGAATTTTATTTCTCTCCCTTCAATCTGTAGACTTTTATTTCTTTTCCTTACTCTATTCCCCTAACTAGGGCTCTTAGTATAATGTTAAACAGAATTGTTCAGAGTAGAAATCTTGTCTTTTCTTCTTTCTTAGAAGAGAGGTGTTCAGTTTTGCACCATAAAGAGTGGGTTTTGTAGTAGGTTCTTTACAGGTTCTTGTTTAACTGAAGAAATTCCTTGCTATTTCTGGCTTATTTAGAGATTTTTAAAAATCATGAATGAATAAATGGATGCTAAATTTTGAAAATACTTTTTTGACTCTATTTTTGTTATATCTAACTTTCATTTTTTTCTGGCAGGGGAACATTTGAATTCTTCCCTTTTAGCTTTTTGAAATATACAATAAATAATTGTTAACAATAGTCTCCCTACTGTACTATCCAATACTAAAACTTAATCCTTTTTTCTAGAACTAATTTCTTCTATCTATATTTGTACCCATTAACCAGCTTTATCCCCCTTCCCACTATCTTTCCCAGCCTCATCACTTTTTTTCCCCCATGGTATTTTAGATGGTGAATTTTAGTATTTGACTTTTGAATGGTGGTCCAGCCCTCCATTCCTAGGTTAAATTCTGATCAATCATGGTGTATTTTTGTATATATTGCTAGATTCAAATTTCTAATATTTGTTAATACCTCTATATTTATAAGTATATTGGCATGCTGTTTTCTTTTCTTATACTTGTCTTTAAAAATAAATCTGGGTAATGCTGGCCTTTTAAAGTGAATTGGGAAGTATTTTCTCCTCTTCTATATTCTGAAACAGTATACAAATAATTGGTATTTTCCCTTTATATGATTTATTTAATTAACCAGTGAGCCCATGTTTCATTGAAGGTTTGAAAATACAGATTCAATGTGTTTAATTGTTATATAACTATTCTGGTTGTCTATTTCTTTTTGAGTAACTTCCATTTGCTGGATCTATGTTGGATTTTTATTTTTAGAATTTTTATTGTACTATTTCTTTTTTGTGTCTGCCTTTCCACAGAGTTGCTCCTAATATTCCCTAATTGTCCTTTTCAATGTCTCTAGGAGTTGTAGCAATGTCTTCTCTTTTATTCAGATACTGATATTTTGTGTCCTTTCTCTTTCTCAATTTTGCTCATCTTTTTGTGTGTGTTTGATTTAACTTTTAGTTGCTCTAGTTTAAGTTGACTTTAAGTTGCTCTAGTTTCTTAAGATAAAAGTTTGAAACACTAATTTGAGATGTTCTTTTTTCCTCATATATGCACTAAATACTATGAATTTTCTTCCAAGTATTGTTTTAGCCACATCTATAAGCTTTGATATGTTGTTTTAATTTTTATTCAAGTCAAAATATTTTCTTGTTTCCCCTTTGGCTTCCTCTTTGAGTTATGGTTTATTCAGAAAGTTGTTTAATTTCCAAATATCCGGGATTTCTCAGATATCTTTATTGTTGATTTGTAGTTTAATTCTATTATCATCAAAGGATATATTTTGTGTGATCTTCACTCTTAATTAAAATAATAATTGCCATATAACCTGTACAATGTGATACATACCACATGATAAGCATACATACACATGTGTGCATGCATGCACACACACATACAGTACTAGAAGACAAAAAATAATTGTGACTCAGAAGTCTTCACAAAATTATCGACAGACTTGACCTTTTAGAGTAAGTTGAGTTTATGAAGGATACAAAACAACATGAATGCATTAAACAGAGGAAATAGAATAAAACAGAGCATATTTAGGGAACAAGAAATTGTTAACTGGAGAGTAGAATAAAGAGTATTAGATGACACTGGAAAGAAACCAGATGTTTATAAAAGGAGGAAATCTGAACTTACATATCTTTCTAAAGAGATTAGACTTTAAACTGTTGCTATGAAGAGCTATCATTTATTTTGAACTGAGGTATACAGGATCAGTTTTTTAAAAGATATCACTGACAGTAACATAGACGATGTAATGGAGGGGAGAGAAAGATGCAGCCCGGATATGCTGGATAAAAAGTCATCAAAATGATTTGGGAGAAATGTGATGCAAGTCTAAACTAAAGCACTGGACCTGAGAATTATAAGGATAATATACATTTCAGGTATATTTATGAATTATAATCAATAGTTATTGGTGATCAGTTAGATATAAAAAATATATTAAGTATAATATCCAGGCTGTTTGCTTGTGACAAGGAGATTGCTGTATACTAAGACAAGAAAATAATAATAATGAAAGTACAGGATTGGGAGCAAAAGTGATGAGTTGTATTTGGGAAACATTGCATCTGAGATAGGCTTTGGAACATTCAAGTTAGAAATGTTAAGGCTTTTGTTTTGTTTTGTTTTCTATTATAAAAAATAGTTTTAAAAATGTAAAGGAACATGTCTCCTCAAGTGGGCATTTGGAAACAGGCATCTAGAGTTGAGAGAAATCTAAAATAGAGATACGCATTTTTTAGTCATACATGTGTAAGTAGATTAAAACATAAAGGAGAATAAGATTGACCAGGAAAAGATATAAAGTGAGAAGAAAAGTATTTTCAGGGCAGTTTAATGATCTAGTTGAAGAACCCAAACATAAGTTTTGAAAGTCAGGAAAAGAAACTGCAGAAAGAAGAATTTTTGAAGCCAGTGAAAGAGAGGATATAAAAAAAGAAGTCAACAATCGCAAATGCTGAGAAGTCAAATAGGATAAGGGCTGACAGTGGCATTATTCTGCTAATTAATAGCTCTTTACTAGTTTTAGATTTACTAGTTTTAGCTGTTTACTAGTTTTAGATTTAAGTAGGTTGACATGAAAATATGTTAAAATGCTTAGTAAAGTATTTATTAAATTTTTTCAGGTTGGCAAGATAATTTCTATCTTGATAGTCATTTTATCATATCAACTTTTGACAAAACATTGTCTATCAATAAGTATGTACAAATTTAGTGTAGTTAAATTGAAATCACTTTACATACTAAAACCATTGTTCTACAATAGAAATACTATTGGTTAAATACTACTATGTGGAAATATTGACAACCCAGTCATATAAAACCTTATAGTCAATGAGAGTTTCATATGAACAAGACCTAAAAAAGAAGGCCTAGATAACCTCACAAATGTCTGTCACAATGGATCTGACCTGGTTAATATATTTATAAAAAGTATTTAGCTGATTGCTTACAATTCAGCTTAGGGTGAGAAAAGAAATGGTAATTAAAATCTTACCAGCCATTCTATCTCAACTGCAGCATCTTCCACAAATCCTCTGATCATTACTCCAGTAAGACATGATCTTTCTTTCTTTTTCCTTCAATCTCAAAACATTAACCAACACATTTAGATATTCACTTTTTTACTCTTGAGAAAATCAACTTTAGGACATAGTGCCTGGAACTTAGAAAATGATCGATAAATATTTAATGTAAATATTTTAAATTCATTAAGCATATTTGCACATCCAAATCATGTATCCATTTATAAAATATTTATTATTCAATTAATGTGTACACATTCTATAAATCCTGAGGAATATAAAGATCAAGATCAAAATGTAAAAAAAAGAAGTAAATGATAACAAAATATCACTAAAATAAATTGAATATCAACATTATGTGGTTCCACAAGTTATAAATTGTCAGCATTTTATATCTCCATTTTTAGAAATTCGAAATAATTTGTGATAACTCTCTTGAAATAACTTTTAATGATCTGTGCTAGATAATAGATATTGGGCTACTTATAAAAGATAAGTCTATACATCTTTTTAAAAACATATTAAAGGGTCATGAATAAATTAGTTTATTTAATTTTTAGTCACGCTTACTTTACTTATAGAAGAATCAGTACTGTCTTAAGATTTGACTTCACAATCAAATATTACACAATGATTTCATGAAAAAAATGCATTATTAGAAGCTGAAAAAAGGAGTGACTGTGTCATAGCAGTGCACGTTTGCCAGCAATCTGAACACTACATTCTTTTGTATGAGTATTTTAAGAAAAATCTGTGGGAGAGAAACAGAACAATGCAAGATTCTTGATGGAGGTCAAGTGTGTGTAATATTAAGAGAAAGTCTGAAAGAAATGATTTTGTGGAATTGTCAATGCAGTGACACTGGAAAAGTAGGCTGCATTCAAATTTGGAAAAGCTTGAAGAAATTTGTGTACAGGATACTCAAATGCATCAAGTTCCAGTCCTCCATCAAGACTATGAAGATAGATTCAATTAGGACATTGTTGCAGGCTGGGATTAACAAAGACATGTATGGTGTCTTGGACCAGAGGGCTAACTGGGTGAGGTTATTGACCCACTAATATCAAAATATATTGAGA